GATATCGTTTATCGGCTACATGAGTTTTAAAATATCGGCATATCGGATATCAGCTAAAATCCCAATATCGTGCATCCCTAATATTTTATGCTTTTTTTTATTTAGTTTGTTATGGTAGTTAATAAAGGCCTTAATGAATATTTACAACAACAACAGAGGTCCAATACTGCCCAAGTGCACATGAGCTAAACAAGGTAGTAGTAGGCTAAGCCAATTAGCACTTCCAAATGGAGTTGTTAAAATTAAATGCAAACAAGTATTCGGTTATAAGAGGAATTAGACTTAAATAGCATTGGAAACATTGGTGTTCAATTAGACTCTTCAGATGTTGATGTAGAGTTGATGGATTTGTGAGTAAACATCCTTATTAATACTTTCACTTTTCGGCAAAGTTTTCTGTGTCTTCTAGTATGTGAACTCTAGCTAAACGCTTTAAAGTATAACTCTGGTTTTCTAACTCGACTATCATCTGGATGAGATATGACCAATGTAATTGGATTACATTTTATTACATACTTTTATGAACTGTCCTCAACTCATATGACTCTTTATTTAACGGTGCACACAAGTCTGCATTAATATGTTTTCATTAATACAACCTTTAACTTTAGCAGTAGATCTTTAAGAATGGCCTATCCCTGAGGATATTTCAAACTAGGCAAAAAATCTGAGTTATAATGGAAACTCTTGGTATTTATGAGGCATGGAGCTGCAGCTGTAAAAGCATCTCTGCAACACACAAATGATTCATGATTACACTCCAGCATCCAAAATGATGGATGATTAGGAAGAAAGCTTACAGCCAAGTTTATGTTGCAAAAGCTGCACTTGTATTTAACTGGCAAAAGAAGTGTTTAGAAACATTTTACACACAATAATGATTGATGTCAGTATTACACTGTTCGACCCTTATCTTTAGGTAAGGCATTCTATAAATTCAAAAGATTACTGAACATTGTAAAAACCACTTGAAATAAAAGATGTAAAACATCTTCTGTTTGTCTCCCTATATTAGCTAAAAGTAAAATCAATATTTATTCAAAATGATTGATAAACTAAAATGCTATGGATCCTGCATTTCATCTTGCATTGGAATTGGAGAGAAAAGCAACCAGCAAACCAGTTTTATAAAGTTTCTAACTTAATAAATCAACCCATGTGTTAAATCTGTTCGTTAGATCAGCTAGGATATGCCGTCTGAAACCAACCTTCCAGTATATTTAAAAAAAGAAACCATTTCATGTCATAAGCATTAGATTTAACAGATACATGTTTAAGTATTTTTTAGACCAATTAAAATAAGCTGTTTCCAGAGGCAAAATCCTAAATGCTTTAACAGCATTAAAATAAAAACCCAGATATTCCAACTTCAAAGCTTCTTCACTTTTATCTTCTTGAAGCCAAATAAACTTCTTCATCTGGCTGTGAGTTTAGAGAGACAACTGTCATACAATCTAAGAGATCAAACCGTCCACATCTCTGAAATATTTTCAGGCTTTGCTTTGATTTTATTAAAACACATTATCACAAACCAACACCATCCCAGACAGAAAGGAGATAAGCTTGTGCGCTCAGGCTTTATGGCAGAATAAAAATATATAGCCCTGTTTCTCAGCAGTCCTGCTGATTCAATGATGAGTATCAAAGTCTACTTTGAAGGAAAATCTTCTGACTTTAAAATAGTTCTCAGAGGTGATGCTGTCACAGCATGCATTTGGCTCGTTTTCCTCAATCAAGCATATGGGTCTCCTAAAGAATAGTTTATAAAGAATAGTTTCTACCATTTGCATTTTCTGATTTTTTATTTTTTTTTTTTTTTTGACAAAAGAGAGTCTTAAAATTTGATTGAATTAAAACCTTTAATATTAAAAAGGCTGTTATCTTTTTTCTGCACCCACCATTAAATTAAAGAGAGATACAGTAATTATATTTGTCTTCAGAAAAATAAATAACATTATATTGTTGTTGTATGGATGTATGTATGGATGGATGTATGTATGTATGGATGGATGGATGGATGGATGGATGGATGGATGGATGGATGGATGGATGGAACTTTACGAAGCAAACAGATTAACAAGAAAAGAAGAAAAGCTTCAAGAAAATTTTTTAAATTTTTTTTCTGTCCTTTTCTAGACCTGGAGAATAACAAATAATAATAAAAGAATAACTGCATCAAATCCCAAACCTTTTCAGAAATCCCTGTGATTAGTTCTAAATAAAGATCACAGGGGCATTCTGGTAAAAAAAAAAAAAAAATCACTTCTTTAATTTAAATTCTGTTGCAGTATATTTGATATTGGTATGGCTAAACGGAATACAGAAAGAGGACAAAGACAGAGACAAATGAACAATAAGGATCAAAAAGAGACAACCAGACAAAAACTAATCTCATCCATCTGCGCTGGTCAAATTTCACACAGGAAATGGGTTTCTTTTTCTCTTCTCTTCCCCATCGATCCCCCTTTCTATTCACCTTCTCCTGTTATTTCCATCACTCCTTTCAATCTCAGACACACAGATGAATGGATAGACGGGAAATAAAATAAAAAAAAACAGCTGGGTATCTTTTGGTCGTTTGGCCGTCCATTATGAAGAAAAACAGTCTGGTGAGGAGACAAGAGAGCAAATAAAGTCTAAGTTTACTTATCTTACTTTGTAAAAGAAACATGTTTTTCTTGCTCTGAGTAAAATAAACCATTATATATATATTTTTTTTTTTCATGGTGCATTTCTTTATATATTAAAATAAATAAAATCAATTTTATTGCTGACAGCAGAGTTGATTTTTCCTGACTGTATAGTATCAGTTTGCCGCTCAGCCACAACCTGGAGCTAAAGTCAGTTGGTATATTTACCAAAGCAGATGTCATTGAGTTCATTGATTTCTTCCTGAACTCTGAGAAGCAGAAGGTCCTGCAATATTTCCTGCTGCTGGTCGTCATCCTCCATCCCTAGAAGCCCCAGGTGACGCTCCTTCAGTCTCAGCAAAGCTCGGCCTGCAAATGTATTTTTAAAACATATATATATTTAAACCAGTAAACTTCACCAAAACACTTTGGAGCTTGGAATTAAATTTATCAAGTTGCAAACATTTCAAGTAAACAAAACAATCGATTGATATTTAGAAAATGTGAGAGAAATTGTGATTGGTTCAACCTGATATGTCATGTTTGATGATCCCTTTATAGAGTGTTTTGATGTGTTGTGGGTGCTGTGCCTGAATCCATTCCAACACCTCCTCCACAGACCAGGAGGATACTTGCGGTGATTGGCTCATTTTGCCTGAGCTACCTCAGTAACACCCTGAAAAACAAACATGAAGGAGCTTCACAATTAGATGCTGATCCAGACATATTTGTTTACATATCAAAGATCGGGCTGCAGTGATTACAAGTAAATGACAGAAGCTTAAACTTTGTGTTTCTTAAGCTGAGATCATCCAACACAGGTTATTTTACTGTAAGGTTTATATTGATACAGTTTATTTTCAGACCAACTGATCCCTGCCGATTTTTAGGGGCCAATTCATTAGGCTGATACTGCTTTTCTCTCTCCTTTTGCAAGATAAAAATGACACAATGATAAAAAAAAACAAATAAAAAAAAAAAAAAAATAATGAATTAGCCAATGCATTAGCTGATACTGATACAAGAAGAAAATGTTAATATCGGCCAAAGACATTAGCCTTATTTGTTTCTATTCTTAAGCAACTGTCCCAAGTTCCTCCACCGGAACTGGAAGGCGTTCTTAAATCAGTGGGGATACGGAGACCCGAAAGCAAGCTCGGCTTCCGACACAGTGTCTCCTCCCAATAAGAAAAAACACCAAAAAAAAAAAAGGGAGGCATCTTAACATGTCCAACTACTTCAGGTGAATTTTCTTATTTAATTGTATAATATTCAAATTAGCTCACTGTCATTCATTTTAGCGTCTGCTCCATTATGTTGCCTTACTATATTACCAGAAGAAGAAAAAAAATCAATTGTCAATTTGCAGGAAATTGGCAACCTTTGAGTTGAAAATCACTGTATTTGTTACATTATCCAACCCAGATTTTGCTCATTAAATCTTTTTACACAGCCTTTGGTGTCAATGGTGTCACAGTACACATTAAATGAAGTTACTGTATATTTCTCTCCTTAACAAACTGTATAAACTGCCAGAAATGTCTTTCCTTTATTTGATGAAACATCACTGTACGTCTGCTAAATGCTTTTTTTCTTTCTTTGTTTGTTTTTATTAAAAAGTAAGGATTTAGGACAGAAAATGTCCACAGTAGTTTTGCTGTTTGATAATAAAATAGCATATGGATTATATGTTTGTTTATAGCTACAGTGATTTGATAAAACATTCAACATTCCTGTTTTTTGCTTTTTTGTCATACACTGTACATGGCTGAATTAGATCAACAAAAAATGCAGCCAACAAAAACAACCTGAATAAAAGTAATAAAAAGCAGTTTTGAAATGATGATTTAATTTATTAAGTAAAAAGATACACAAACTAATCAACAGCTCAACCTGCTACCAACAAGCATTTGTATTGGATTGTATTACAAACTTTGATTCTGATGACCCTGATTCAGTCCTCCTCCATTCCAGTTTCAGGCGTAGGGGGGCCTGATCCCTGTTCTCATCCAGTGTGATACAAATCCATTGTTAATGTACCCCACTGAGGCCTGAGCGCCAAAATGTTAAAACATTTTCTAAATATTGCCTCTGCCTTACCTCTGTTTGTGACTTTTTCAGGTTGAAATGTGTTTTTAGATGGTTTGACATGAAGAGGGGAGAATTAAGTCATAATATAACTACTTGGTTGACTGATTTCCACACACAGCCAGGTTGGTTTTAATAGCTTTTTTCACCTTAAATCTTATCTCCTTTTGTCATTCTAAAGCCTGTTTAGTATTTTCTCAGGTTAACTTAAGGACATTAAACTGAAAATTTTTTACGTGAAAAATAACACCCACAAAATAAGAAGGCAAACAGCTTTTTACACAATAAGTAATGACTTTTTTTTGTAATGAATTTTTTTTTCTTATAACCTAAAACTTTAGATTCACATTCAGATTTTGAATGTTACATTTCCAGGATTTATTATCATCCAAATGCACTCAAGGATTTTAATTTAGTAATCTACTCTGAGGTTACTGAAAGAACACACAACAAGGCCTCGATGATCTTAGATCCAGTTTGGCAGATCCAGGAGGGAGAAAAACTCTTTACACTGATCCGTTTACTGAGGAACACCTTCAAGTTTATTCTGGGAGATCCAGACCAGAAGGAAGAAATATGCCCTCCAGTCAGCTACTGGTATGTCTCCCTATAACAATGATCACCAACCGTTTTACAGTTGAGGGCTAATTCAGGGGTACTGACCTATGAATTGCAACGGTCAACTTTCACCTAAACTTCATACATCATAAACATATCATTATCATTTCTTTAAATTTATAATTTTCTCTTAGACATTTTCATTTTGAAATCTCTATAAATGCTTAAATGCCATAAATGATTAAATGATGAAATGTTCTATAACCCTATTAAAAAAAGAAGAGCAACAGAATACAGTGAAAATACAAACGTAGCTCACTGTTGAGTTGTTCTATTTTCAGAAGACTCTAAGGGCACCCCTTGTGGTCCTTGAGGGCCCCTTGGTGCCCGCGGGCACCATGTTGGTGACCCCTGCCCTATAACATATGTTTGGTTCTATAAAAAGCAAGGTGATGGTAAAGATTGCAACCCTATCTGAGACTATGAACCCTGTCTGTCACCAGACAATCTGCTCTCAGGGTTTCAGCTGCCACTGCTGTGAAAATGTTTGTCTGTGGTTTGAGGAAACGGCACTCTGTAACAGTACTTCTTTCTCGAAAGCCTATTTTCCAGTGATTAAGCTGACAACCTCCTGAACATTTTGGTGAATAACTGAGCTGAATCCCAGTACAGAAAAGTGAAATCAGCCAGTTCTGACATTGAGAGGTCAAAAAACACTTCTGTTTCTTTTTATCATTTTTATAGGCTCCTCGGGTTTGGGCTTTTCTTACAGTTTCTCCCTCTGGACTACGGGGCTATAGGGTAAAGAAAAAAAGACTGCTAAACTGTTGATGTGACCTTTTCAGCAAGGCAGGCGGGTTATTATAGTTGTAAATATAGGAACACAATTTCCTGAGTTAATTAAGGAGGAGATATGATTGGCTGAGACAATAACAAGCTCCCAATGGAGTAACTGATATGCAGAAAGTGACTGAGGCAAAGAGATGGAGACAAGTTAACCCTCAAAGTGGGGCTGAGCTGAGGGTAAAGGAAATCCTATGGTGGTCTATAATACTGCTGTTATGCCTGAGGACAGCATTTCTTTTACTATACAGGGCCCATTGGCTCTGTTTTTTTATGGAGACATAAACCGACTGTATATATAGCTTGTCTTATTTGCTAGAAGCACTTTAATTTAGATTTAGCTACTGAACCAGGACTTGTAAACAAATGTAATATGTAAAAAAAAATAATAATAATTCCTGCGCAACTCAACTGCCTTTTGCTTTATCTACACCAATACAGGGAACAATAATTACATTTTCTTCTTTATTTTAAAATTAGACAAACAAGAACTGGTTGCATAAAAAAAAAATAGTTTTGCTGATTTTATTTATAAAGGAAAGAAGGGATTTAATGCATTTTTAGTTACTTGTTAAATGGTGAATTAACTGTGAGTGGCCACTTAATTCATTAATTCATTCAAAATCAAGAATCACTTTATAAAATATCATAGGAAAACATGAAATAAGCTAAAAAAAAAATAAAAATAATAATAATAATAATAATAATAAAAAAACACTAATTCCCATACCAATAATGCTCATCATAAAGAAATTAAATACACTGGAGTGTAAAAATGTATTACATGTATTTTTTTTTTTTTTTTTTTAAGGCCGGAAGAGAGACAGGGTTGTTGGTTCACAAATATTGCTCCAAGAAACCATCAAAAAGCCCCACAGGAGGGCAAAAATGAATCAAGGAAATCATCTTAATTACTGCAGACCTCATTTGATAGTGGGGTCTGTTTTAAGGACTTAACTAAAAGGGAGAGTTAGCAAAAATGGCATTAATAGGAGAATTTTAAAGTAAAAATCAAAGTCATTGGTCAAGTCAAAGTCTAAAGATAAATCTGGCTGTAGCATGACTGTTAACAGGCCATTCATCCTAGAAAATAAGTAAAGCTAAGTTGACCAAAATCCTCAAACGTTATGTAAAAACTCAAATTAAAACTTGCTGCAAATGCTTGATGTCAATTTTAAAAATATATATTTACTCAGGTAATATCTGCATATCATAAAAATTCATTTATAATCTAAAGAATCAAAATGTGACAGGAGAGCCAAAGCAAAATAAATCTGTAAGAGGAGGGGGGTACCTCTTCACAGCACCATATGTTTAAACATGACATACTTAACATACAGAGGCTGAAGAGTCTTTCCTTACTCCACTCTCATGCAGGCTTTCTTGCCTGCTGATTTCTGAAGGATACCAGAATGCATTTCCTCTAGCAAGTCAATTTGCCAGAACCCAGCAGGAGGTCGAAGGTCTGGCAGGAAATATTCTTAACTCAGAATAAGTTTGAAAACAACATTTGTGTCCTGAAGCTAAAGCAGCTGCCCCCTCTTTCTCGCACATATTTCAAAATGCAGCCTGCAGATTAAATCTGAAAATAAAATTAATCAGAGATAAAGTGAATCAAAGATGCAACACCGCCACCTTGTGGTTTCTTGAAGCAGTGACACCTTCAAGACGCATAGCCTTACTAAAGGGGGAAAATAAAGCTAAATTGTGCATATTATCTTTTATTGGAAAGTTCAGAATTTGCCATTCGATTCAAACTATTCTTATACGGAAGAAAGTACACAACTTTTAGAATTTAAAGTCCCTTTAATTAACACTAAAAATAGCTGTTATAGCAGTCCATTTCTGAATCAGTGGCCAAATAATGTTACCAAGCAGTGGATTATCCTCAAAGGTTGATGAAGAGACCAAAGGAAACATACTCATAGATGCTGAACGGAAAGTGCTGCAGGATTGTATGACAGGAACCGGTTGAGCAGCACATATACAAAAAACTCTGAATCATGTCCGTGCCTGTGCTTAGGGTTAGGCAGTCAGAATAGAATAATCTCAATAATTAAAACAGGCTCTGCTACATTTTTTAAAAGCACATTTAACATTTCCCAATTTATATGAGACAATGCTTTCACAGAATGGCTTCAAGAACCCAAGAGCAAAACCTATTGCTCATGGTTTAAAAATTTTGGTCTATGTTTTAGGCAAAAACAAAACATGTTAATTCAACAAGACATCCATTACTGATATAAATTTGTCCTGAAAATTCTAGTCAAAAACGTAAAGCAACTTGAGATCAATCTTTTAAGATCCAATTTATGTATATCTTCAAACAAAGCAATCTAAAAATATCCATTGATTACTGCATTAGACTTTGCTTTATTTACTTAGATCTGAGGTCTGCAACCAGTGGCTCCATCAAAAGCTTCTGCAGTAGCTTTTGCTTACTGGCTAAGAAATAATAAAGAATCAATTATTGTCTTTTATTAAAAAAAAAAAAAAAATAGTGCAGATTTTAGCAAAAATATCTAAAGTTTTCATTAAATAATTGCTCTGCATATGTGCAAGAGAATGACCCAAAAAGTACCAGTGATGTTTTTATCTGTTTTTTTTTTAGTTGTTGTTTTTCTGTGAGGTTCAAAATAATGCGATTTCCTAATCACATTTGAATCCCACGGAAGAAAAGGGCTCCAATCTTTCTTGGGGTTTTTTTTGCAAAAAAAATTATTTTTTGGAAAAATGTTAGTGGATTGTTAAAAATGAAAATATTTTTTCTAAAGTAGATATTCATCCAAAATTATGTTGTCTTTTTCAAGAACATGATAACATTTGTTGCTCTAATACCTTTTACTTAGCTGGAGTGAAGACTTAAATGGCTCTTTGGATAGAAAAGGATGCAGACTCCTGACCTAGAGGAATATGCAGTCTCACAGGATCCTCATAAGGATTAAAAACTGATGATCCTGTGAGATTGAAATGAGCTAAATGAAGCCAATTCTGTTTAAAATACATGACAGTGTACAAGATCTTTCAATTTCTACAGTGTTCCGTATACCTTTAAAATAGCAATTCTATAAATTGTATTGTCTATAGTTCTAGTAATCTGTTTGACATAATCTACACTGAGTTTTGTATTCTAAAATTGCCATATTGCTTTGATCATTTCCTTATGGCATGCTCACACAAAAAGTACGAGTTTGGTGCAGGAGTTAGGGGCACCAGCCATGTCGACAGGCTTTGATCTTTCAAAGGTTCGAGTCCTGTCCTGATAACCCTTGCTGTTTCCCACTTTTTTCTTAACAACAAAAGGCCACTACAGCCTAAAATAATCTTTAAAACAGAGAAATTATTAATTTGCAAAGGTATGATGTCAAGATAACATTAATATAATTATTTGAGTAAAATCTCAACGACGTTTGATACCGAGGGTAATGTCGAAATGGCATCAATTAAATCATTGACATACATCAAATTGATTTTAAAGGAGTGATGTCAAGTTGATTTATGCTTTTGACTACAATTATGATGACAATTTGATATCAGCGTTTGATGTCATATTGATGTTGATTTGATTTAACAGAGCCCTGTGGAGGTACATAAAACAAAGTAATAAAACCATGATAAATCATGGTGTTTGAAGAATTATGCTCTTGTTTGATTCTCTTCAACTGGAATTGTGGAGTTAGTCAAGGTCACATGAATCATTGCCAGTAGATTCCAGTCACTGTTTGCACAAAAAGTCCAACCTTTCTAGAGAGCTGAACCTAAAGCAGTTTTATCTTGACAGTTATCCACAACAAATAGCATTTCAAGGCAATACACAAGATTAATATGGTAACTACAAATGAATCAAATACATTCTAGTACAACCCGGTCATAAGATTAGGTTAAATCTCATTTCCAAGTTGATTAAAGTCCTAACTCAAGAACAATAAACAACCACATAATAGATTAACTTTGGTTCAGCCACCCCTTGTTCTGTTCCTATGGAGATTGGAGCATTCTAGACTGACTCAGTGTGATTGCAGATGTGTTTGTTGCTGAAATGAAAACTATAACAGTTATAGTGTAACTAAGCTCTAAACAGCCTGCAGGATCTATCTACAGCAGAAAGTAAACCACCTATCAATGAAGAACTACAAGAATAGAACCCTAAACATGTAGTCCCGACACTTGAGATCCAATATATTTCCTTTTGAACTCTATTTTTGCACAGATTATATTTCAGTTAGTTGCTGTACTTACCTTCAGTCCAGTATGTTCATTGTTGACACTGAATCTCCTGTCTGGACCTGCGTATCTCAAGGACGTACGTCTTAGCTCAGGTATGTTTAGGCCCCGCCCACTCCTTGGTGATGCCTTCAGGGGATGTTAGCAATATTCTTAACATTGCTGATAAAGATAAAAATGTTGGTAAACTTTTGATTGTGCTCATAGCTGTCATATACAAAATGAGTCAGCTGTTTAAGTAAAACGTGTTACTATTTTAATAGGATAGAACAGTAGTTATTGGATATTTTCACAGTTAAGTTTCTTCTATTTTATTGTTTATTTCATGTTAAGCACTTGGAATACAAATAACTTGCCCTGCCTTGCCTTACCCTGGAAAAAATGTGAAAAATTTACACAGTAAAATTGCAAAAAAAAGAATTCTAGTAAAAAAAAACTTAGTACAACTGCAGTAGCTTTAATAGAACATTGGGACTTAAATTGACAGTAACATTCAGAAGAAAGAGGAGTATTATTTAACTTTTTACTCTTTGTAGTTGTAGTTAAACAGTATGTTAAAAAGGAAAACCAAGTTGGTTTGATTATTAATTTAAAGGGTAGGGTTGCTATAAAGCTTAGCTGAGCATGGGTCTTTCTGTGTGGAGTTCTCCCCATACATCTGTGGGTACTCTCCAGGTACTCTGGCTTCCTCTCACAGTCCGAAAACTGTTGATTTTAAATCGCCATCATGTGTTTTTAAATCCATAAAAAACATGGAAGCTGGTTCCAGTTGTCTGCTTTTAGGGGGAAATCCTCCTAAACAAACAGCATGTGATATTAATTTTGCACCACCATAAACATTGGCTATGGATAGATTATTTTGGGGGAGAAATGTCTATTTTAAAGATAGTAAATTCAGTTTTATTTTTAGTTGTTGAAATTGTTAGGATTATTTTTAATTGATGATGTATGAGTCTATTAAGCCCTAATATTATCTGTTGTTACATGTCAAAACTAAGGTTTTTCCAAACAGTTTGTCTAATTGTGTGATGAAAGTCATCGTCATTATGTATGTGGCAAAGGTTTGGGAATGGAATGAGAGCAGTGTCCTTGATCTAAGAACATAGGGTAATATTTTGATATGGCTGGAGAAATGGATGTCTCCTTATTTTCAAACGATGATTTGCAAATGATGTGGCATACATAGTTATATAAAATGCTTCTTTAACTGTGATTTGGGGCTGACTTCAATGAGAAGTGAACCTGGTTGGTAAGCCTGCCTTCTATAACCTGAAGTAAATTCTCTGGGCTGAGTAAGATTACAATTTCTGTCAAATTCTGTTATCATGTCTCATGGTTATTTTTAATACATATACAGTAAGTATGAGTTGATCTCTTTACAGGAAAGAATCAGAGTGAGAAAGACTGATGGAGGCTAAATTATTTATGAAGTTAATGTATGAGTAAAGCACAAATTTAAACTTGAAATTTGTATTCATTAGTTATAGAAGTTGTAACTATTTAAACTATATGTTTTATGTTTTGCATGAGATTTGAAATATGAGTTTACAAATGTTTGTTATGTACAACTTCTGACTAATATGTACACAACTGTGCTTTTATGTGCAAGTTTATTTTGATAGTGATCTTACCTAATATTAATGGAGCTGAGACGTTTAACTCACCATTAGTTATAATTGGATGGAGTGTAATTCCAGCATGAATCCAACAGAGGGCGCGCATGTACAGTCTCTGGAAGCCGTTCTATATCTTCACATTTTAAGGCAGCTGCACTAGCAGAGCAATAATCAGCTGGAAGTTTGTAGTGGTCACATGACGATGTTGTGGATTTATTATTCCACATGTCCGAGCTCGGTCTACACTGCAGGACTACTGACAGTCTCTGCAACACTGACAGTAGGCGTTCATGCTGCATTTTTTTTTTCTTTTTCTCGGTTTAATTAAAAACTGCAGTGAAAACAAAGTAAAAGCCTGAGGACGCAACAGTTAAAAGGAAATTATGAGGAAGGCGCAACTGTGATTTGTATTCTTTTTTTGACATCTATGACAGAAGGTGAGATATTTGCTTATTTACATAATGTCTTGTTTATCTTATGCATGATGGATAATTTCTTACACCATAAACATGTAGTTCTAGAACTAATTGAAGAAAAATAAGGGCAATGCATCAAAATAAATAATTCATAATTGTGCCAACTATTGATGCTTTTTTTTATAGCTAAATAATTAATATCAGTTTTCTATTGTATCAACATGCTGCTTTGAACACATATGATTTCTGCTGTATTTAAGAATCAAGACAAGTTAAAAGTTTAACAGCTGATTTGTCACTTTTTTCACTATAGCCTTGTTCTTCAAAGGACAGGAAACCCACATTCAATGAACTTCATTAGCAGAAAATTGGTTCTTTATATTCAGGCGGTCATGGATAAAGTGTCTCTTTAATAAGGGAAGAAAATGGGTTAATGTCCATGGATGGCTGAACATAGTTTGCATGATGTGTGTAAAGTGATTATTCTTTATAGGGCTTTTGTGTTTCAAATACATGCGTGACTGTAAGATGAGTTTTGTAGTTTTGAAACATACATTCTAGGATATGTTTGTTTAGGTTATCTTATAACGTATGCTCCCAGGATAGACCACACACACAGCCATCTGCAGCCCTGGCACACAATTGGATGTTTGTTGGGGACAAATGACAAGACAATTCTGTTCTCTCATGTTTAGAGGTCAAAGAGTGGCTGACCTGGTTTTATGTGTCAATTTCCTCACCCCTCTTTTGATCCATCCAACTGTAACGCCTTGTGAAGTCACTGCTATTTACAGTTTCCAAGCTCTTTGGAGAAAATGTGTGTGGTAGAAGTTATTCATTTTCCACAGTACTTATCTCACAAGCTTAGAAAAAATAGATACCAATGGAATCTCCAGGTCAAAAGCATGCAACTCATTTGAAGCTTAAAAACATGCAACAATATATTAAAGTTCAATTTAGCTTATTTATTAAGCTCAATTGAACAACATAAGTTATTTCAAGACTGTTTGATAAAGAAAAAGGAAATAACCTGGATTTTTTTAAGTACATGTAGTTGCTAACTTTGCAGGATTCTTTCATTGAAAACACATAGAATGCATAAAGCAACAGTGCAGAGAAGTCTCCTTCAGTAGAAAGAAACCTCCATTAGAACCTGGCTCTGTGTGAAATGCTATCTGCTGTGGCTGACTGAGGTTGTGAAAACAGAACAGACATAGAAACATAAAAAAAAAAAAAGAGTCCTGATTTAGAAATACTTTCCATGTCAGAAAAGTTTAGTTTTCTGTTCATGATGATGTCTAAATTATTGTGATAGTCTCAGCAACAGCTTTTTCATGTGTAGTGGAGAGGAACAGTTAAACATAGGTGAAGCAGGTGCATAATTATCCCAAAGGTATTAGTAGCGATAGCTCATTTGGTAGGCTGCCTACTATGGTAAATGGCCTGTACTTATGATAGCGCTTTTTCAAGTCAGGAGACTTGACCAAAGCGCTTTACACTACATTCAGTCATTCACCCATTCACGCATGCACTCACACACTGAGTACTAGTACTATTAGTACTCAAACATCTACTAGTAATACTAGTAGATGTCTCAGCTATCATGGGTTACTATCATGAAAATAGAAAAAGGAAGAGAATACAGTTAAAAGTGCTGAAAACCACTGAAAAGATAGTAGGTAGCGAAGTGGTGGGTATGTCTTCCGGCAGTCTAAGTTTATAGCAGCCTGCCTACAGAAATAGTAGAAAATGTATGAACATAATCAAAAAGGAAAGTTTAAATATAGTCTTCAAAGCTTAAAACTAAACTAGTCCCATGGGAGAGGAGCCTCTCATCTGAAAGATCAGTCTGCCACACTGCCTTAGAGATTCTCCCAAGCATGTACATTGATGATCCAAGTAAGAAAGTCCTAACTTGATGACCATTGAGAGGCTATATAAGTAGAACAGATTAAAAAAACTTAATGCACTGTTCTGCTAAAGCTGTCTGTAGACATCTTTATATTCCAACTATTGCATTCTTCCTACATGTCGGTAAAAAAAGCATTAATATAATTGTTTGTGCTTTAAATTGTCATAGGTTGCAGCCCTTGATGCTGTTGTTCTTTAAAAAAAAGTTGTATTTGTCTAAAGGCAAAAGATTATCTGATTTAAATAAAGCATTGGAAAATATTAATTTGCTCTCTCCTAACCATTATATAAGTTTTAAAAACTATTTCCTTTTGTTAAACACACTACTTTGTTGTACTTCCTGTAGATATGAAGTTTTTCCTGAGATTTTTCACCAAAAAAGTTTCTTTGTTACCTTTTTTGCCAGACGAGCATTGTCCAAAAGAGTTTTTGTGCTTCAATATACTAACTTGCACCTACCATTGTTTTTTATGTAAGCTCTCAGTCAGAAGGCATTAATAAATAAATAAAGGGTCAGCTCATTGTGTATGCAGATGAACTGAGGCCTACAAGTAAACTCTACATGCTAGCCTACACGTCCATGGTCCAGAAGCAATCCCCTCATTCTGCATACAGAACTCTTTGATTTGCTGCAGCTGCAGATGGAATCACACTGACGTGTTGCCAGTGTTTCGTTAGCCCTGCACCAGTAGCTATTCTATTGTTGAACATCTTCATCTATAACAGACAGTGCTGGTGCTTCCTGAAAATTCTTGAATGTGTTGAAACTTTCTTCTTCATAGCTGAAAATCAATATTCATAACAGACAACCTTTTCCTGTATGATGGCATTAATGAGGGAGACGAGAACTGCAAACTTTTCTTTGGAGATAACCACTGCTGACATTGGAAGCCATCAATTTCAATCGTATTTGTGCTGCTGTCATAACAAACACTTTGAGTGATTTCAGCTGGGCTCTTTCAAAGTTTTGAAAGTCCTTGGATCATACATTTATCTCCAATTCACTTTGGTAGATAACAGTTCTTGCATGTTTTATTTAAGATGTCAGCTTATATTGGCCTGTTGTAGTTATAGTATCTTGTAGTATCATGTCACTTTTCTGTTCTTGGAAAATTCTTTATATTTCTTTTGTAGCGTCCTTGATGTCGTCAATTGTGAGCGAATATACCAGAGATTCACAGCTGCAGGGCTGCTGAGAGTAAGACACAGATTACTTTGCTTTCCCACCGTCAATTCTTTAGGCCGAGAGAGCAAATAAACGATTAGGGCTGTATCCCAGAGAACTGGGTGTAAAAAAGAAGGTAATCAGTCCACACAGACGTGCACACACGCAAACACTCTTTCCGCAGCCATTTCTGCAGGGGTGTGGAGTGTTTAGTGGAATCTCCTAGCAGCACAGATGATTCTTACTCAGATTCAGTCTAAATGTCAACCTGACCCCCATATCCCCCTTTAATGAAAAAGTCCTGACTGAGCGCTTTTTAACCACTCTCTTAAACACTCACAGAGTCAGAGCGGGTTCACACCCACAGCTCCTGACTCTCATTTAATCTCTGACACAGCCCTTCTTTCCCTACTCTTATCTATTTGTTTTATGTGCCCTTTCACTTTGCTTGTATTTGATTTTGATTGTGCACATCGTGGGAAACTAGAGGCCAAGCAGGCTTCAATAAAAAAATACTATGAGAACTTTTCAAAAGCATCAATAGAAATATTGAGAAATAAACCCTGAAAAGTTTTCATGCTTTAAGTTACAGGCAGGACTCTAAGGCTAACTCATTTAAACTAATTTGACTTTGGAGACATTGCTTGTAATGGTCTACAGTTAATGAGACATGTTATGCTCTCTATTCAGAGTGAATTGATTGGTTCTTAGGTAAAGCCTGTATGACATTAAAAAGAACCCATACATTTTACTTGAGCAATCATTTCCTGATTGCTTATTGCTACTGAAAACCCCAAATGCAAACTTTCAGATAATCCCTAAATTGTATATATAGTAACAGAGGCTGACTCAAACGCAGAGAAGAGATATGTAGTGTTATGTGGTCAATAGTTTTAATAAAACCATGTTTATGATTTGTAGGTGATCACTAGCCTGCTCAGTCAGACTGACAGGATGTATATTTTTGTGAAATCCAATGGTTTTTGTGTGGTTGTTCATATTTCCAAATACATGCGACTTGTATTTGATCTCCCACATGAACTGCATTCATACAGCTTAACTGTCTAACCCATGCAGTAGAGAACACAATGACATCACAAGTAGCGAGAGACTGCTTACAGAGGTAAACATGGATGGTAGTTCTGGAGCGTATCTAGCAATCTTTCTTTTCTTTTCCCACCAGAGCCAGCGCATTAACAACCCAATCTTTCAGAATAGAAAGTCCCTTTATTGTCCCATTATGGGGAAATTTTCAAGAAGACCAAAAAGAAAGACTGCTCTACACATTGTCGTCTGCCAGGGTTGTTTTTCTTCCTGCTTAAATGTTGCAAGATGCAGAATAGGGTAGTTTATTAAGTATTAATGATGTTTAGTATGAAAAAAGCGCGACCTGACCATTCAGACACTGGTCACATTTAAAAGGTTAGATATGTATCGGATTTAGGACCACATAGCCAAGTGGCCTTGGTCCCATTTAAAAAAATTGGATCCCTGTCACCCATTTCATTTACTGGTGGCGAGTCTTTTCCACATAGTGGAAAAATTGTAAATCTTCTTTTGGAAAGTAAGCTTGTATGAGTGATGAAAACAGAGACAGAGAAACAGAGCGTGCACAAGGAGAAATGGGCTTGTGCACGTTCTCGCGTTTGTTTAATAGGCTATAAGGAGCGAGTACAGTGCTGTGCATGTGCATTTTTTTTTTTTTTTTAGAGTGGAGAGGGCAGGTCTTTTAAAACATTTGGCAAAATCCTCCAATATACCTTTGACAATCATCCCAAAGTTATCTTGTTTCTGCACCATTGTTTACCACACTTTTTCCTTTCACTGTCTTTCCTCTCCACTCAACTTTCTACAGGGTGTCAGTGGGCTTCTTTTGGACTTATGAGAAGTAATTTACCAGATTATGTACGGTAAATGTTAATATATCTATAAAGTATCTTTATTAAAATCCAATTTTAGTTATTGGTATGTAATATTCAAATTTTCTAATCCAGAGATGAATAGATTATTTAATTCTTCAGTATTTGTATTAAATGTAGGTAATTTATACATTTCACTTTTTCAGGTAAATTTGTAAAATAGATACAAAATTTATTCAAATTCAAATATATTGAGCTGCATCTTGTAAAGTTAATCCAAACAGCAATTTTGAAGATAATTTAATGTTGTATTATTAGTGCTATCAATCAGTTTAAACCGTTTGTTAAACAGTAGCTGTCAACAAGTCAACATTAAAAAAATGCTACTTCACGGACTAACATCCTTTTATGATGCATAAAATATTTTTTTTGTTGTCCACTAAAAAAGAAAATAAGTAGATTAAACAAAGTATGACAGACTGAAAGCTAAAAGAAACACAATTTAGTGACTGAGAAAGTTAAAATCAGGAAATCAAGAACTTAATCAACTTTTCACACTTTTGATCAGCCTCCTGTAGACAGTCTTCCTGTTTGTTTAAGTTGTTCTAAAAATTTGCAGCTGCAGTTTGATGCTATAAGATGTAACGACATGTGAAGCTAATGAATTATGTCTGTAACTAATTTTAACTTTTAGTGTGCTGCATCTTTTTTTTCCGGATTTACAGTTTTAAATACAGGCTTTATACTAAATCATAGAGGTGGCTGGAATGAATACCAGCTCTCAAATGTCCTGCACAATATGAAGTGGGCTTAGAAAATGAATGAATCAAACAACGTGCAAAAGGATACACTTAAATTGACCATACTGTAAATGTTGCTCATAGAGAGAGAATATTTTCTGATGTTTTTTGGATTTACGCAGGAAATCATCAATTTGCGAGAACTTTCTCCAGTGTAATTGTTAAGTATAATTCTTCCTGTTCATTTGAGTGCATTTATCACTATTGGCTGTGTAGTAGGTAGCTCCATGGATGTCTTTAGGTCATTATCTCAATATTTTCCTCAGGAACGGTTCAAGACATTTCGTCACTGTAAATCAAGTTTAGGCAGGATAAGTAATAGACTATGAATGAAAAGTTGAGGTATCATCTAATGAGATTTCAAGAGAGTAGAGCTTTCTACTTTACACATGTTGAGTTACCGTTTTAACGTTCAAATACTCCTCCATGTTATGGAAAATTGGCACAATGCTTAGTGTCATTGCCTCATCTGATGTAATATTCAGAGAGGTAGCAGTCATAGCAGACATTCCTCACTCCATGTTGGTATGAAAGTTAAATCACCTCATTTTTCTTTTTGCTTTTTACCCAACCTTCTCTTTTGCTTTAAAGCATGCAATTTCATTCAGGTTTTTTTATCTTCTGAGGAGCCAAGCAGATGGAAAGAGGCTAAAACACACCTTGTGGTAGAAGAAGGAAAAATCACTCAACTCCGGTTGAGAGAAAGACATAGTCCTCTCACCTCAAGGATTTCCTTCTGTTTGTTTATGTTTGACTTTTCAGTGTGGGACTGAAAGGCTATTTATTAGTCAAACTGAGAAGGGATGATCAGAGCTTTGCCTGTGATTCACTGCATTAGCTCGTGCAGAAGGTAAAAGAGAAGAAAGACATGCATGATTAACGATACTCATAAATGAGCAACAAAGAAATTGTTTACCTTTACATGAAATGTTTAAATAGTCTAAATATGGGATATATGTTGTATTCCACAGATTTCTAACTCTCTATCCTCAATCTAGAGAAGTTTTATTCAGTAGTATCCTCTCTATGTTGTATGTTATATAATTAAAAAAAGGCCTAATGTTTACCCTGTGATAATCTAATACATTTGTACACTTTGTAAAGAGTCATGTTATTGTGATCAGAATATTGGTAACAAATCTGAAGTAGGAAGTATTTTAAAGTTTCACCCAAAAAAACTATATGTACTGAAACGTGTGTTAAATGATTATGAATTTTTTTTTTTTCTTTAGTTTAGGAGGGGATGGAAAACAAAGCCATGTATCTGAGCACAAGTGAAGAAAGAGAGAGCGGCTCCATGTATGAGGAAGTCTACGATGGACATAACTTATCAAAGCTGAACCTTTGTGATGAAGGTAAAAAAAAAAAGACAAAAAAATCAATATTTTTGTAAGTTTTTTGTTTTCTTTTTGAAAATTGTAAACAGTTGTGACCAGGTTTTAGGTGTACAAGCACTTGTAGAGGAGTTGTTGGGGCGATTCTTTTTCTGCATCAGGAGTAAAAAAAAATATTTTCATTCTGTAATATCAATGTATATTCAGAAAAATACCATCAATTCTACTTCAGCAGAAGTTAAAGAGTAAAACCTATGGAAAAGTAAGGTAAACTGTTCATGTTCCTGGCATTTGTTTTTCTCTTTCTCTGGTCATCTGAATGTCCAGAGGTGACATCTGTGTTTGTGTGAATTCAGGTCCAGCTAAATGAACTCACAGATTTAAATTCTCAGGTTTCAATCCACAGCTTGGCCAGTTTGTTGGGAAAGTTTGAGTTAATATCAACAGGAGAACTTGCTTGGATTAGTTCACTTTATCCAGCATCAGACTGAGAGGTGACGTGAGCATAGGGTTATTCTTTCTTAACACTACATTTTGTTTGTCTTGAATAATTGCAAAACCAATTTGTCTTGAATAATTGCAAAACCAATTTAGAGTTAAAATACATGAGCCTCCTTACAGATGCAAACCAGATAATAATATAATATCAAAATAATTATTTGAGTTAAGAGGTGTTTTTGCTTTAATGTTTTATGAATGCCACACATACTAAATCAATAAAATAATAAATGATGATAGATAAATAAATTAAATAGAGGCTTTCTCACATGAGTTAAGGAAAAATACCTAAAACACCAACAAATCCTGGCCAGATGTAGAGAAATTAAAGAAATTCTCACAAACAAAGGCACTGGCATCTATCACCTTTGTAATGGTTACAAAGCGATCTCTAAGGCTTTGGGACGTCTGTGAATCGCAGTGAAAGACATTATCCACAAATGGAGAAAACATGGACCAGTGGTGAACTTTCCTAAGAGTGTCCAGCAGACTGACTCATCCTGGAGAACCCAGGATAATATTTAACACTCTGCAGGTCTCACTAGCCTCACTTAAAATCAGATCTAATGTTATGATAAGAAACAGATGGGGTGAAAATCAGTGCCGAGGCCAAAACTACTCCTGATGAAAGAAAGCAGAAATGTACATCTCTTTTTTACTAAAAAAAAAAGCAAAAATAAAACATCTTGATTATTCTGTAGTATTATCTGTAATGTTGAGTCCTGAAAGGTGTGTTTCCCTTTGCTTCCGATGAAACGTGATCACCAGACTGACATAATGGTGGAAGTGTGTGTTAGGTTTCTGTTTCTGTTATGATTTTCTTTTTAGTATTAAGTCTTCTTGGTTTTCTATTTGTTGTCC